TGTGTGTGTGGGGGCACGGGGAGGGCAGTGCAACACAGTGAAGACAAGTAGTGATTCTATAGCAACTTACTACGGTGATGAACAGTGACTGTAATGGGGTATGTGGGGGGAACTTGATGGGGGGAGTCTAGTAACCATAATGTTGCTCATGTAATTGTACATTAATGATACCAAAAAAACAAACGTCTAACTGTATAAGATAGGCGAAGTATACCATTTATAAAATGATACAAACGTGTAAAACAAGGCTATGTATTATGACACAAGCATATGAGTTAAAAATATAAAGCATGCATAGAAATGATAAGCATCAAATTCAGGATAGATGTTGCCTGGGGAATCTTATCAGGGAGGGCAGACTGGAGTTCCAACTGTGTGTGGGATGTCTTTATTTTTCAATGCTTCATTTAGGTTTAATTAACACAATAGAAAGTGCACAACCTGACACATTTTGATCTATGTATACATCTATGAAACAAAGTATCAAGATAGTAAACATATCCATCACCCCAAGTTTCCTTCAGCCCATCGGGTCTCTATGGCGCTCACTGACTTCGGGCAAGTGCTGGGGGGCTTTCTGTCACTATAGATTTGCATTTTCTAGAATTTTATATAAATGGAATCATTTAGTGTATATTCTTCTGTGTCTGGCTTCTTTCACTCAGCAAAATTATTTTGAGAATTATCTATGTTGTGGTGCCTATCAGTCATTCACTACCTTTTATTGCTTATTAGTTTTCCATTATGGATATGCCAAATATCTCTTTTTGGTCTTTTTTTTCAAGTAGATTTTTTTTTTTTTTAGAGAAGTTTTAGGTTCATAGCAAAACTGAGTGGAAGGCACAGATTGCCCATGTATCTCTTGCCGTCACACATACATAACCTCGCCTACTATCAACATCCCATGGCGGAACGGTACGTGTGTTATAACTGCTGAAGTTCAATTGCATCGTTACTACCCAGAACTCACAGTTTCACATCAAGGCTCACTCTTGGTGGTGTACCTTCTGCGGGTTTAAACAAATGTATCAGGACATGTACCCACCATTATAATGCCATACGGAGTAGTTTCACTTCCCTAAAAGTCCTCTGTGCTCTGCCCAGTCATCCTTCCCAGCCCGCTAGCCCCTGGCGGCCACTGATCTTTTTACTCTCCATTGCGTTGCCTTTTCCAGATTGTCATATGGTTGGAATATTACAGTCTGTAGCTTTTTGAGATTGGCTCCCTTCAGTTAGTAAAATGCATTTTTAAGTTCCTCCATATCATTTCCAAGCTTGATACTCATTTCTTTCTAGTGCTAAATAATATTCCACTGTGTGGATGTACCACCGTTTATCTGTTCACCTACTGAAGATGTCATCTTGGTTGCTTCCAAGTTTTGGCAGTTATAAATGAAGCTGCTGTAAATACCTGGTTTTTGTGTGGACCTAAGTTTTTACCTCCTTTGGGTAAATCCTACAGAAACACAATTACTGGATTGTATAGTAAGGATATGTTTAGTTTCATAAGAAACTGCCAAAGCGTCTTCCAAAGTGACTGCACCATTTGCATTCCCACCAGCCGTGAAAGAGAGCTCCTGTCGCTCCACATCATCACCAACATTTTATGTTGTCCGTGTTCTGGGTTTTGGCAATTCTGATAGGTGTGTAGTGGGATGTTTCATTTTAATTTGCATTTCCTTAATGACATACATGTTTGGCATCTTTTCATATGTTGATTGGCCAGCTGTATATATTCTTTGGGGCAGTGTCTGTCCAAATCTTTGGCCCATTTTATAAAGTGGGTTGTTTTCTTATTCTTGAGTTTTAGGAGTTCTTTATACATGTTGGATACCAGCGCTTTATCAGGTATGTCCTTCGAATGCACACACCACCCAGATGTCTGTGCCCAGTACACCCCGAGTGCTCCTGGCACGGTCACCCGAGACTCCTCTCCTCTCTCTCTCTCTCTCGTCGGCGCATGGGTCCAGGTCCTCATCTAGGCCTCTAAATGGCGTCTTGGGCTCCAAACAACGTTTTCTCCTTCATTGGTGACCTCACGGCGTTTCACGGCGTTAAAAGCCATCTAGGATCAGAGGCGTCGGGGACCGCCTGCCCCCCACGCCCGCCCTCTGGCTGGCTGCCCCTGCGCGCGGCAGGCGTCGCCCCGGACTGCTTCCGCCTCCCTCCCTCCGCTCCAGGCCCCCGTTCTGCGCGCCCTCCCCGCTCCAGTGAGCAGCAGCCTCCTCTGGACCCCAGTCACCCTCACGGGAGGCAGGGTGTGCACAGCTGGCTCCCAGGGCGTCTGACTGGCCAGGGGTGCGAAACGCGGTGCGGGGGAGCCGCGCCTGTGCGGCGCTCGCGGCCCAGGCCCAGGCCCCAGGAAGGCCGCCAGGCCTACGTGCCGACCGTTAGAACCGGAAGTCACGTGTCGGGGCGGGGCGTCACTCCATTGGCCAGAGAGCGCCCGGGGGCGGGCCGCGCACACCTAGGCGACCGCCGCGGGACCAAGCCGCCTGGAAGCCGGAGCGGCGGGCGGCCGTAGGTGGGCACACGGCCCTCAGGGGTGGGCGCGGCCTCGGGTGCCGGCGGGGAGGGCGGGAGGCCCGCGGAGGGCCTCGGGGCCGCACTGTACGCGCGCCGCGCCGTGGAGCCCTGCCGTGGGGTCGCCAGCCGCCGCTTCTCCGCCGCTTCTCTCCCTGACGACGGCCGCTCCGGCCCTGCGAGGAGACGACGCGCGCCCACCCTGCGGGCGCCGTTTCCGCAGCCTTGCGGGCGTCGCGGCCTCAGAGACTCAAGGAAGAGGGCGGGCCGGCGGCCGCGTGGCGGGCACCTCGGGCCCTCGTGAATGGTTCCTGCGGAAACGCGCCCGCGGCCGGAAGGCCCGCGCCGCTCCGTGCGGGAGCCCGGGGCCTGAAGCGAGGCCGGGGGCCGCCAGGCGCCTCCCGAGGGAAGGGTCGCATCCGCGGGCAGGGCGCGCCCAGAGCTGCCCTCGCGCCGAGGCCCCTCCGACGCCCTTGGGGGAGGAGAGGCGGGGGAGCCCTGCCGTTGGGGGCGTCCGGGCACAGGCGGCGGTGTAGCCCCCGCGGTCCCTCAGCCCCCCTTAAACCTCCCCGGGACGAGTCGGGCCCCTTACTCCGAAGCCCAAGCCGTCCGCTGCGGGACGACCCTCCCTCCTGGGCGCGAACAGGTGGAAGACGCCAGGATGTGTCCGCAGGAGGAGGTGGGGGTGACGGGTAGGAAAGCCTCCGGATCTGAATCTAAACTCTCGGAGGGGGAGGCTCTGCTGGTGCACACGGAAGACGAAATTCACGAAGAGTCACGAATCCTGTATTTACTTCACCTCATTTCTTAAAATATGAAGAAGTGAGCTGATCTCAGCACTTGAAATAATTGGAAACAAATTGTGTATTTTTAACTTTAAGGATACGTGAAAAGTTTTGCTCCATTATCCTAATTTGGTTCCCAAGTTGTTTTTTAACTCATTTAACAGTAAATAGTCCTGAGCACCTATTATATACTAGGCACAGTTTCTAGATTCTGACGATAGAGCAGTGAACAAAACACAAAAATTGCTATCCTCAAAGAGCTTAGAACTACATTTTAGTAGGTGTAGATGCACAGGCTGAGACACACGGCAATAAGATACAGTGTCTAAGAATGATGTGCTGTGGAGTAGGGAGGGTGGGCACTGGGGTGCTACGATTTTGAATGAGTAACTTGAGAGAACCGCTGGAGGAGGTGGGGGGCTGCTACCTGCAGGAGTAAACCAAGTGGAGGCCGCAGTATGTGGAGGGACAGCGGCAGTGAGGTCCCCCATGGGCGGCACGGGATGGCCTGTAGATGGAAGACAGGCCAGGGTGGTAGCAGCCGCAGAGGAGGCCAGAGAATCCCCGGAACTCTGGCTGCCGTTCTCGGGCGGACAGCGGTGGGGAGTCTGGGAAGAGCGGTGGGGAGGGGTCATATGCTGGGACTGCCTTGCAAGAGACTGTAAAGTAGGTTAAGGGTGAGATGAAAAGACCAGTTTGGACCAGTTTGGAGGCCATCACAGTAAATCAAGCTGGTGGCAGTGGAGTAGGGTTGTCAGATGTAGCAATTAAAAATACAAAATGCCCACTTAAATTTGAATTTCAGGCAAACTTTTTTTTAGTACAAGCGTGTCCCATGCAATATTTGGGAAATTCTAATTTAATTGGGCGTCCTGTATTTTATCTGGCAATCCTACGGTGGAAGGTATGAGAAATGATCAGATTCTGTGTATGTTTTGAAGGAATTACCACAGTATTTGCTAATAGATTGGATGTGAGAATAAGCAGTCAAGGAGGACTCTTAGACTTTGGCCTGAGCAGCTGGAGGGATGGAGTTGCGATGAGTGGAGTGGGACGACTAGGTGGAGAGTGGGTAGAAAACGATCCCGGTTTTGGACTTAAGTTTGAGATGTCTCTTAGTTAAGTACAGGTGTCAGGGTAGCAGCTGAATGTAAGAGTCTGAGGTTTAGGAAAGGGGTCTGGGCTGGAGGTCACAACTTTGAAAGGTGACAGCTAATACAAGGTACTCATTTATTAACTTGTCACTGTGGAAGATTTCAAACATATAAAAGTAGAGATCATGGATAAATTAACTCCAGTGTACCCATCACATAACTTCAGCAATACCCTAGGACCAGCTGTACCCTCCCCGGCTCTCTCCCAGCCTGTCTCCATTACTTTAAAGCAAAGCACAAACATTATTTTATCCATTTAAAACTTACTAGGATGCTCACTTCAGCAGCACATAGAGTAGTTGGAATGCTGCAGAGAAGATTAGCATGGTCCCTGTGCAAGGATGACATGCAAATTTGTGAATCGTTCCATATTTTTGAACCCCACTGGGCTGTTTGCTTCTGGAGCACGCCTGCACTCCCTCCTGGAGTGTGTACTTTGCTTTAAAAAAAAACTTATGTATAAGTGATAAGGACTCTTTTTATAGCCACAATATTATCACACTTAAAATAACAAATTCTTCAATATTAAGTATTTAGACAATGTTTACATCTCCTTGTTTTCTTACAATTCATGAACCAAACACATTGTATATGAATGATGAGTCTTATTAGTCTCTCTTAATCAATAGTCTTCTACCCCAGTTTTTTCTTGGCTTTTATGCTTTAAAAGAATAAGGTCATTTAACCTGGAATTTCCCACTCTCTGGATTTTGCTGATAGCATCCTTTGGTGCCGCTCAACCCCTGTATTTTCTATGACCTGGTTGTCAGATCTAGAAGCTTAATTAGATTAAGCTTGCCAATATTTTTGACAAGTATACTTCCGTAGTAATGTGGGGCACCTCCTTATTGCACCTCGTCAGGAGTAACACACTGTTTGGTGTGTCTATGAAAAGATCAGTGGAGAGGTTTTGTTACCAGCCTGATCTGTCCATTACAAAGTCCACTGTCGGCCTTTTACCACATGGTTATAGATGCTGATGGCCATTGCCTAGACACATTTTTTTTTATTAAAGTATTATTGATACATACTCTTATGAAGGTTTCACATGGAAAACAATGTGGGTACTACATTCACCCATATTATCGAGTCCTTCCCCATACCCCATTGCAGTCACTGTCCAGTGTAGTAAGATGCCAGAGAGTCACTATTTGCCTCTAGATACATTCTTTTCATTATTAGGCTTCCATATGGTGAAATCTAATTCTACCATTTGTTACGTTTATTAGCTGGAGTACTTCTATAAAGAAAACTGTCTCACTTTTGTATGTTGGGTATCCTGAGGTACGGTTTGTTCTAGAAAGGTAAGATGTAGGATTGATTCTTTCCCTGCTGATTTCCAGAACAGTGAGTTGGGTGCCTATCCTCCAAAGTGACTAATGAGAGTCTTTGAAAATACAAATTTAACAGGAAGCCCCTGCAAGGTAGCCCCCCAGAAGCCTTTGGCCCTGGTAGTCTGTGGTAAGTTCCTTGTTCTCTGGTCAACAAGATTATCTCAGGCTCATCTTGTGTATTTCCTGACCCAGACCTGGTCCTTTTAGTGAGGAATGGCATGTGAAGGCCGAAAGCGGGGTGCTAGGGTTGGTCATTATTTCCTGGCGTTTTCAGTGGGCAGAGCTGTGAAACATTTTTAAAGAGGAAGATACATCGAGTTAATTAATTTTCAAAATTTTTCAAACCTGGGGTTGTGGTTTTTGCTGTTGTGTTCATTGCTGTATCCCCAGAATCTAGAAATTGTGCCTGTGTTCAATAGGGTTGAGTCAAAATAATTAACTGAGGTATTTAGTTCCAACCCTGCAGCAACCTTATTCTCAGCTAAAGTGAGTAAGAGTCTTGGTGTGTTAGGGATGAGAGTCCTTTGAGCTGAGAATAGGTGAATATGGAAGGCCCAGATATTTGTTTGAAAATGGTGAAGCCACAGTTTCCGAGAAAGTGATTAAGAAGCACCTACCTAGTAAGCGCTTTTGTCCCATAGCCAGACACTGGGTATTCTTGATCTTGAATCCCTATCCCGACCCTTAAAGGTAGGTGTTATCTTCATTTAACTGATGAGGAAACTGAGATGGAAGACGTTAACTAATTGGCTGAGGGTTACACAGTCTGTACATTTATGAGACAGGATGTGAACCTTGATCTGGTTCTTCTAAAGCCATATGCCCTTTCACGTCATTCCCTGGCTGCTCGTTAAGGGAGAAACACAGCTGCTTGGTTCCAGAAAGCATGTAAACAGGCCAGTGTTGAGAAACAAGAGCGTGATGTGCCTGAAAGAGCATGGAACCTCCCTACCTCCAATTATTGGAGAACTTGAGCTAATTACTTAGCTCATCTGAGTCCACAAACTTCCAAGTGGGGATAATAGCCTGCCTCACAAAAGTGTTAGCCTCGTATCTGACACTGTGCTCACAAGGAGTGGGCTGTGCCGGCTAATACTTCAGCGCCCTCGATCCATGGGGCTACTTAACATTCTTGCAAAGCAGTTGTTTATGAACACCCACATGCATCTAACTTTCTAGAAAATTAGAAAACTTCAATGTAACAGATTTCTCTAAACAAGGCTAAACTATATAAAAAGTATATTGAAAAGTCTATTTTTAACTTGTTTCATTCTGTCTAGATTTCTGTTGGGACGGTGTTTAATGTTTGATCAGATATGTCCACCATATGTGTGGGAATCACTTTCTGATGCCCTCAATGGTAATACATAATCTGGTAACTATGAATGTTCTGTGAGATCAGAGAGACAGAAATCTGCCTTGTTTTCATCCAGGCTGCATGATCGTTGTAATGAGCTGTAGTGTGTAGTGTGCTGAGCTGACAGTGAGCAGGGCAGGCAACTGCATCCCAGAGGTGTGGGGGAGGCCTCTAGCCCGGAGCGCCCACTCTTCATGGACTTCCCTCACTGCCCAGGTCCACAGCTCTCTTGGCATCCCTGCATCTTAGGGTTTGGGAAGAACTGGTCATCTTCAGAGAAGTTGCAGATTAAGTCCTTCTTTGTATCAGGCAAAGAAAGATGGGGTTTATTGGCTTTTCTTAAAAGCAGATTAGTAGTAGGGGCAAGAGAAAAGGACGAAAGAGCAGAAGATGGAAGGCAAACTCATTGTTTCACAGGCAGCTGGGCTCTTTCTGGGGCAGAAGGGGTGGATTTTGTATGCAAATTAACAGCAGAAAATACTTGTTTCTGGTACATAGGTAATGGAAGTTTTCACCAATGGTATGGGAATATGCTTGCTGGAATGTCATCACTTACATATAACAGTCACCAGTGATCTTTGGGAAAAAATTGTATTAACTCTTGAATGTTCCTCTCTTCTTTTTAATAGGGAAATCATAAGAAATGAATTTTAATGTCTGGAGTATCAAAGAGATGCTCAGTATTCCCTCAGGCTCTGGGTGAGTTTTCTGGTCATATATGCAGATACTTGAGACGACCTTGCAGTTGTACCAAGATCACAGGAAGGGGCCCCTTCCTATTAGCGTGTAGTCGCAGTCGCCCCACACAGCTTCCTCCATGTCTGTTCCCTGTGCCTGTCCTTGCTGCCTCCCCTGTACTGGTCTTTGTCCTTTTGCCTTGGTGATAAGCTTTTCTCATCCAATACTTTCCTTTCTTCCTAACATCTTCCTGAAGATGGTCATTAATGCAGCAAAAACCTAGAGTATTGTTCTTTTCAATCTTCGGAAAGAAGTGTGCTTATAGTTGATAGGAGAGAAAAATCTTTGTTTAGGTCCAGATCAGCCTTGGGATGTAAATTCTACATGACTTCTATAGGCTCACAGAGCTCTTTCTTTCCCAGCCCAGCTAATTGTTCTCTTTGAGCTAAGAGTAGAGTCACGGAAGGCTGCTTAGCTATTCTGGGCAACCATTATGCAACCCATATAATATACGTGTGCAGTGCATTACTTTAGCTAATCTTGGAAAAAGGTTCCATGAGTCAAACTTATTGCTCTTCCCTGTGCTGAACTATTAGAGTTTCTTTTTGTCTTGTATTACTATACGACTATTCCTTTGGTTTACTTGAAATTTAACATGTGGAAAAGAAATGATTTGTATGTGTGTGTTTTAGTGAAAAGCAAGTTTTCTTTGGCTATACAATAGCATCAAGTAAAACACATTGTCACTGTTAAAACTGGAAGACAGTGTTTTACTTGTCTGCCCGGTTAGGTGCTGTCCCTGTAGCTCAGTACTCTGTGGCTGGTGTAAGTGCGTCATTACCAGGACTCCTGTCCCTCCACGTGGGAGGTTTAGAGACTGGCATAGACATCCATGAAGCAGGTTGGAAGTCTATGGCTGCAAGTATTTAAAGCAAGCAAGGGCAAGACATTAAAGTGCGAAAGGGAACACCACCTTGTGTCAGGACAGTTTTTAATGGATCCTCCTGTGCGCAGATCTGAGTCATCATACCCTTTAGTCTGGATGAGGCTGTGATTAGCCATGTGGGCAGCCATAACAGGGTTCCATAAACTAGGTGCTTAAACAACAAATATATTTTCTCTGTTCTGGAGATGGGAAAGCCGAGAATCATATGCCAGTGTGGTCAGGGTCTGGTGAGCACTCCCTTTCTGGCGTGCAGACCCTTCTCACTGGGTCCTCAAGCGGGGGACAGTGCCGAGAGGGCGAGGGCAAGGGCACATCCCATGGTGGGGGCCCCACCCTCATGACCGCACCTCACCCTGATCACCCAAAGGCCTCATTCCCAAATACCATCCATCATATGAGGGGCCTGGGCATCAGCATGTGGCTGCTGGGAGGGCACATTCTGTCCATGACAAGGCCTGTCCCGTGCTGTTGCCCCATGGCCCCCGCTGCCCTCCTCCCCTGGAGGCACACGCTCAGGAGGGTTCATGTGTGTCCTTCTCCAGCTCACCTCGGTACACTAAGGTACGTACTTGTTTGGTGTGCATGATGTAGGTTTAAAAGTTTGCCCAGATGATACATGATAGAGCTCATTCTATGTTTACTTTTTTTCCTGCACTCAAGATGACATTTCTGAGACTTAGCCATGTAGTTATGTGTAAATGTAGCTTATGGGTTCTGACTACTGCATCAATTTTATGTATATATCATATTTTATTTTTTATCTGTTCCCTTAGTGATGAACAGATTCAACTTTTTAAAAAATAATGTTCCCTCATCCCCCAAAGATTTTATGAACTTTGATCTCCAGAATGCTGTTACAGCCCGCAGTGCTGTGTGCAGGAATGATAGCATTGTCTTTGATATTTGAATTTCCAAACGGATCATTCCCAGGTTGTTGTAATAAAAATAGATATCTGGCATGCAAAGTTCCTTGTTTCTTTATAGGTATACTGACTGTGTGCAGGGGTCAGGGAGGTCAGAGCAAGCTATTAGTCTCATTTTTTCAGGATATTTGTTCACTTAACATATGTTTACGTGTCTTTTCTTGCTTAATTCCAGGACCACTAAGTCATCTCACTGGACTAATAATCAGACTGATTGCTCCAGCCTCAGTGATTCGCAGTTCCTCTTTGGATCCCAGTTCTATCCAGAAAATTCAGAGACCCTGCCAGCTCCCTTGGACTTTGGTGTCCACGCGAGACACCCCAAACAGTCACGGCAGAACCTTCTAGATGTAAGTCCAATTTCCGGAATTTCTTGGCACACACTTCACATAACTATGGAAATAGGTTATAAAGAAGACTTCCTCTGCTGCATTGTATTTTAGAGTTGTCCATCTCTAGGGGTTATGCTCCTAAACAGATTTGTGCTTCACTGGTGACTCAGTCGGTTAGTCTTGATACTGGACTTGGTAGTCTGAAACAGAAAAAAAATTTTTATTTGCAGTTTTTCTATTAGTAAAGTAAGTGATACAGAATAGTACCAGTACCTTGACCACTCCAATATGAGAACAAATATGGCATGAACTTTCCTAAGACTAGTCTTGCTGTGGTTTGTGAAAATTTTATAAGCAAAAGAACTTTAGAAAAATAGGAATAAAGTAACATTAATTTTATTTTAGATGGACATCTTTTTCCAATAAGCTTCAGGTGCTTTGTGGCTTTTAGTCTGCTATGCTACATAATCTCCTAGAAAAAGGAGATGAGGATTCTGAGGCTTAAGTTAATGAATAAGAACCAGAATGAGGAACAGTCTCTTGGGTCCTTGCTTTTTTTGAGACCAGCCTGCCTTGGTTTGTGAGTCAGAAATATTTTTGTTTATTTATTTTGGTCTGGAACTAGATTAAATTCTATACACATCAAATAGAGACTTAATGAATAAGGTTAAGTCACTGCTTTACATCAGTAGGATATGTATGCCCTGAGATATGTATTTAGTGCAGAGTTTGGTACCCAGTGATGTGAAGGGGTAAGGCACCCCACAAGCCCCGAGCTCATCTGCCTCAGACTGCAGGGAGTGGCCTGCCCCAGGCCGGCGCGCCCGCTGCCCAGCTGTCTCCAACTCACAAAGTCTTGGTGCCCAGCAGCTGAGCGGCAGCGTCTGAGTTAAACCTACCAGTGTGAAAGGGTTGACCTCACCTTGGAGACAGTGTGAATAAATTGTCTGTTGTTAGCTATGCAATTGATTTCAAGCCACTTTAGCTGAAATTTTAGGTATCTCTGGTCTGGTAAGGCAGAAACTATATTAATAAGAGTTGCTTTATTTTAATATAATTTTCTGGTGTATATGAAATAAAAAGGACATAACATGCCATTGGTTTTTAGAATTACGGTTTGCATGTAGTGTGTAGAAAACAACGAATGCTGTAGCTGTTTCATGTGTGAAGTGCTATAATGACTTTTTTCATTTCACAGAATGAACCTAGTATTTTCACAAAGTACCAGACAAAACCCCAGCTGTTTGGAGGATACAGAAAAGATGGAGCCTTATTTCCTCTTCCTTTGTCGGCTGGAAAACCAAAAGGCCTCTGGGAACAGTTTGAGGAGGAAAAGAAAAGGGCAGAGGAGCAGTGTGACAGGTACACAAGCCTTCTTCCGCAGGAGACAGCGCCTCTTTTCTGAGGGACGTGAAAGGGAGTGGCGGCAGTGATGGCTCTGTACTGGCTGCCTTGCCACGCAGCCTGACGCAGATTTGAGTGTGGCTGTCACAGTTTGGGGCCCTCAGAAAAGTAAGCCTGAGGACTTCTCAGAGAAATGCAACATTCAAGTAATGTTATGTCATGCCTAAAATTCTACCGTTTTCTTTTCAGATCATCAGAATTAGGAAATCAGGTAATATTACTTGTTTTAGCCTCAAGAATATATAGCACATGAATTCTGATTTTCTCACTTTGAAGTGTTGGTATTTTTAAAGATTTGCCCTAAATTTTACATGTATCCTTATGTTAGTTTTATAGATTTTTATAGCAAATGTGTGAGATAAATTAGGGCTGCTATATTAATTTGTAAATAAATAAGCTGA